CGGATAGGCTGTAGGCCCTGCGTGGCGGTCCAAACGTGCCGAAGGCTCGAAGAGCAGTCCAGATAGACTGAAGGCCTGTGAGGCGGACCAGTCAGGCTGATGACTCATTATGCATGTTTTTCTGTATTGGTTATATGATATGGTTATGTTTGTATGGCGTTGGTATTTTGGGGAAACTCACTAAGCTTCGGGCTTACAGTTGTTGATTTTGTTTCAGGCACTTCTGATGATTGCGAGAAGGCGAATGCGTGATCGTGCACCTCCTCATATTTTCATGATTGATTCTGGGAATACTCTGATGTCTAAACTATTTTGAAAACAACCTGTAATAACTTAGTGGTTTTAAAATGTGTTAAAAAGTTTAAATTTGGCTTGAATTTTATGGGTGTTACAAAAAGAAGAAAGACAAGTTTAGATTAGATATAAAGATAATCCTTAATAAGACACCCAAATGTAATATTAAGGCTAAGACCCAACACAATATTTTATAACTTAGAAGAGGGATGTCGTAATCCAAGCTATAAAATATTTGAAGGTAGGTGAATGACGATTCACCAATTTCCACCATGAAAAACGAAATAAATTATTAGGTTTTAATTGGTTTTGAAACTCCTAGATTCTTTGAGATTCATTGAACTTTTTCAATGGCATGTTTCAATCTCGAGTGTGCCCTTCAAGTTTTGTGACTGGGATGCCAAGGATCACAAAACAAGGTGTGAAGTAACCATGCAAATTACTTGGTACTCTTAATGTTTATCACTCAATCGATGTGCCGGTTAACCACATGCGCTCCACCGACCTATGATAAACCTTAAGCCACCCTTTGCCTACCTTGTTAAGTCCAGGTTAGTGTGCTGGTTAACCACACACGCTCCACTAACGACTTAATCAAAGTGCAAAGTGTAATTTCATGGGTTAGCACCTTATTCACATTTTCCTAAAGTAACTAAGATTGGGAATTTATAAAAACATTTAGTTACTTTATATTCATCATAATTTTAATGAGAATTAAAGTCATTATCCTACCCGTTCGGCTAACGACCCTTCACCAATCAAGGAAGCGGTGGGTGAGAGTGGACACCCATTAAGCTGCCATTTTATAGGCAACAAGCTTATACCCCCTTATAGACTGGCTTTGTGAATGAGACCTACTAACGGTAAAACGACTTGTTCTTATACATATATATATTATTAACTTATAATAGTATAAAGTATAAGGGTTGAATTTTAACTTTTAAAATTCTAGGGGTTGGAACTAAAGTTTACTAAAATATGTGAGACTTTACATGTTCCAAAACTTGAGGGCAAGTTTTGTAACTTTCAAAACTTTTCATCTTTCATAACTTATGAGTTAATGGTTTATTAAAATGAGAGACTTTTCATTTTATGTAACCTATGTGTTTCTTTAATGGACTTTAAAAGAGTGACTTTTGGTAATCCCTAATTTGAGGACAAATTATGGATTCTATTAAAACACATAATGATCAAGAATTAAACTAACAAGCAAGTTGCAAATAATTCCTATGATCTTCTAAACTCATATGTGTATGAATATTCATATCAACAATTTCAAGAATCATAAAAAACACATATAAGACTTGAAATTTTGATAATAGCTATTGAAAATGGATTAGCATAACCACTACACCATCTAAAACAAGTTTTATAAGATCAAAACAGTTTAGGGTAATGTTTCTAGTCCATTTCCAACAGCAAAACTCGAAAATATACACTCTGGGCATTCTACTCGTCGAGTGCATGAACCTACTCGACGAGTAGGATGATTTTAGGCATGGCCTCGTCGAGTCCCCCCCATGGAATCGGCGAGTTCACTCAGCAGATTGCATATTTATCGACTTTTTTCAACAATTTGCATCAAGTATCAAGAAAACAATCCTAGGCTCTGATACCACTAATGGGTTTTGAGCATTCTAACACTCCTATTGTGTACATGCAACCCAAGAAACCTTGGATCTTTGTTTTACTAAAATACATGCAAATTTGCTTTTCCAAGGTTCTTAACCTAACTAGCATGGCATGGGGAACTTTGAAACATAATAAGCTAGTAGAGTTACATACCTTTTAGTAGTGGTTGATTGCTTGGAGTTTGAGAGCCTGGCACCAATAATGTGGATGCCTCAAATGGAAGTCACAAATCACCACAAACCTTGGAAACTTGAGAGAATAGTAGAACACTTCTAGAAATCGGCCACCCTTAGTTCTCACACATAAACTAGTGCAATTTCAAGTGCCAATGACTTCTTTATATAATGTGGTGGATTAGGGTTACATCCATGTAAACCCTAATACTCATGACCTTTCATTTCCATGAGATCCATGGGTTAAAGCTCCATGGACTATCCATGGACTTACCATGCAAGCCTAGCCCATTCTTAATAAGCTTTAGCCCACACTATATAAATACAAGAGTCCATATTTAATTAGTCACACTTTTGATCACCAAATTAATTCTAAATTAATTTTAGATCAATACTAATTAAATAATATGATTTCATATTAATATATTAGAACTTATAATATATTAATAAATCATAACTTATACTATTCTCAAAAGATTATCCATATAAATTGTTCGGGTGAAGTACAACCCAAATGGACCATGCCGGGTCGGGTCAAGTACATCTCAATTATAGTTATGGACTTAGACACCTTATCCAATAGAAGGCACCAATGTTGGCCCATGGTTTATATGTTAGGATGCTAGATGTTTGCGAGACTCATGCATGTATTGTATGAAGACATGTTTACCGGTAAGGGCCCAATGTCAAGCGGGGCATGATGAGTATGTTGAATGCTAGTTATAAGTATATGTTTTATGCTTGTCGGGCGAGGCTCGATGACTGTATGGTATGCTATAGTTTTTTGTGATTATTGCATGTGTTAATAAGGTTATGATTATATGGTTATATGATTATGTGTGTAGCGGGCTGAGCCCAATGTCAGGCGGGGCCTGGTAATTGACAGATCTATAATCCGAGCGGGGCTCGATGTCGGGCGGGGACCGAAGCCGAGTGGGACCCGAGAGCGGGCGGGGACCCAATATGTGTTTTATGTATGTATGGTGTGTGGTATCATGGGGAACTCACTAAGCTTTGTGCTTACAAGTTTTTGTTTTTGTTTCAGGTACTTTGGTTTTCAAAATTGACGAGCTCGGGATGATTGCAGAGCACACACCACATGTTTTCGCATTCTGTGATTAACTCTGATTTATGATGTTTTGATGAATCTTGATTACTTTGATTTTGTGGAGATGTTATGTATTAAAGATTTATTAATCTAAAAATGGAAATTTTATGTCATTAGTTTTGGGACGTTACACGGTTTACTAAAGTCAACGTTGACCGCTAACTTTTGGAATGGGTTGAATTTTGGTCAAATTTCTATTTTTAGAAGATAGACTTAGGGTTTGCCTTGTGTGGATTGTTAGGAGGTGTTTAGCACCCATATTTTGGCGGTGAGAGCTGTTAGCTGTGGTCGGCGCGACAGTGAGTGGGGTTTTAGTCGGCGCTATGATTCAGGTGAGTCTTTTCACTGTACCTGTGGGTCGAAGGCACCAATGTCAGCCCACTGGACTGTGTTATGTAGGATGATAGTTGTCTCTGTGAATCTTGAATGTTTGCATGTTCGGGTTGAAAGAAACCCCATGGATGAGCCCATTATTGCATGTTCGGATTGAAAGAAACCCAAGGGTTGGGCCCATTATTGCATGTTCGGGTTGAAACATACCCCGGGGCTGGGCCCATGATTGTATTTTGTGTTGGAATATACCCAGGGTTGGGCCCAACCATATGTATGGTATGTGGTATTTTGGGGAACTCATTAAGCTTTGTGCTTACGATTTATGTTTAAAATGTTTTGAGGTACTTCTGGTTTCAAAAGGAAGGGTTCGACTTAATCGCACTACATCCCCTGAAGAATTATTATGCAATGATTGTTTATGATTTTACTCTGATTTTTTAGAATACTTTTACTTTGATTGTCTTTTTGGAATAATGAATGAATAGTTTTGACTTAATTAAAATGAAATTTTTTACTTGGTATTTTTGGGACGTTACACTTTGCATGGATTAATGGAGCCCAAAAACCAAATCCTAGATCTATATCACTGTTTAATGACCTCAAACCATCGCATGGGTGAAAGATAGCAATAAAAATTTCATTCTTATGACATATGATCCTTAGAAACAACATGAAATGACAACCTTAAGCTCTCGAGTAAATTTTACTCATAAGAACCAAAACCATGGGACCAAAAGCTTGCAAACCAAGAATCTAACCTATATCTAAACCATAGTACCATAAAGGTGAGAGATTTATACCTCTAGAAGTTGGCAAAAGAGATGAAAGCTCTAGATCTTCGAGCTTGAGCCACACCAATCCATAATTATAGACTTCTCCTTATTCAATATGCACCAAGAACACACAAAAGGGCTCAAACAAGCTCACAGGGGATTAGGGTTTCGAAATGACAGCTTGGGAGGGTGGAGGCTGATGATAAGGGAGACCTCAATGGACTTAAGGTCTTTAAATAGGGTCTCAACCCTAAAAATTAGGGTTTGGGTTCTGAAAAATTACGTCGTACGTAGGAATTGTACGCCCTACGTAGAGCATAAAGTCCCCACATCCATTTAAGGACTTACACCATGCATAATTCATTACATACGCCCTGCATCGGGCCATTTTTGCAAGAAAATTTATACTCAAGCTATGAATGAAAAGTACCTGAGAAACGGGTGTTACATTAATGTTGGCTGGAAATGTGTGGCGGGGGTTATAGGGAAGTGTTTAGGGCACAAAACTGCCATATTGGACCAGTTGAATTTGTTTAAGTTATGAATTCTATAGCCATCGGTCGTGACAAAAACCTAGATTTTGCTCAATTGTTCTTCGATCAGATGGTTGAGTGTATCAATGACAATAAGCATCTCACATATGTGTCATATCAACGCTAGATTGCTCTTATTTGGGAACATGCTGGAATGGGTTATAACATCAATCATGGGGCATCTGTTTTAGCTCCAATTCTCTCCTCAAAGACAATCAATGCAGACCTTGAAGATGGAGATATTCATCTATTTCAACGGATGCTTCTTTCGGTAAAATATCCATATAGTTATGAGGATTTAGAAGCTAAAGAAGATGAGGATGAGGATTCAAACAACTCTTTTAGCCAGGGTGAAGATGAAGAAGAATATGCTAATTCTTCCAGAGATGGTGAAGATGAAGTTGAAGGTCACTTATCTGACTCCCTAATGTCAGCTAGGGTATCTCCTCCAATACTGAATAAAAATATTCGTTTTCACTCTCCATCCCCCTCTCCTTCTCCTGAACCCATCACTCGGCGTGGATCAAGTCCTCCACAAACTGATCCATCCATTCCAATGACATCTCCATCGAAACCCATCCCACAACATGAGACAACACCACCACTCGCTGATACATATATTCCCCTTCTCACTGGTACCACTCCTCCACAATCATCTCCACTTCATGATGATGCTACTGGTGTTAGATCTACACAGTCTCCTCCCATTCAAACTGTTGCTACCTTTCAGGATGGAGTCTAGTTCATCTGATTTTCAGTCAGCTGTGGTCTCCAAGCTTACACTGCTGGTCAACTTGACTGAGTAATTGGGACATCGTCTGAGTAATCTTGAGGCTGATGTGGCTGGCATAAAGTGCATCGACTCTATGGTAGAAGACACTTAAGACATGGCTGATTCTCCCTCCGATTCTCATCACGATGATCAACCTCCACCACAATCTCCACCTCCGCCTACGGGTAGCAATCCTCCAGCTCCATTTTAACCACCTCCTCCATCAAATCCTCCTCATTCAACTCCTTCTCCACATCACAACACTCCTCCAAGTTCTCCTCCAAGATCTTCTCCTCCTGATAGTGATGCCAAAAGAGGGAGAATGATAAAGCAATTGTAGTACACACTGGCCATTTTGAAGATGACCAGCCTGATACTGATATTGATGATAAGGAAGGCTTTCTGGATATGGACTTCATGTCCCGAGTTGTGCCTATGAACATTATTTATCCATAAGTAAATCCTGAGGGGGAGATTCCTCAAGGTGCTGATAGTGATGTTAAGTCTGATGATGATCAGCTCATCACAAGAAAAAGGAAGACCACCTCCACAGGGGGAGTTCATGACGCTGGTGAAGGCTCCTCTGCTCCTCCCAGTAAGAAAAGGAAGTTCACAGTCAATATAGATACTTTGGCCAGGGACTTGAGATTGTCAGTTGAGGAAGTTCGATAAATTCTCACTAAGCATAATGTCTCTAAGAGACAAAAGAATGATGAACATCGTTCTTCTAAGCTTGCACTGAAGTATGCTTATGTTGATGGCGACATCAATGTACAAATGTTAAATCTCCATCGATTTTAACAATTTGGTCACCAAACGAAAATGGATCTCGGAGCTGAATGATCATACTGACCGGAAGAAATTCGAGAACATTCTAGCTCGAAGAATAAAACCTTATCCCATCATCAAGGTTAGGTGTATTAAACCCAATGATCAAACGTTTAAGGTCCACCTAATTAGAAAGAAACTGAGTATGGATACACTAAAATTGTGTTTGCTCGTGAATTGGTCAAGTATGGTTACAGTGAGTGGACTCATATTCAGGAGTTAATTTCTAAGCATAAAGGTATTCATGCTCAAGAGCTGAAATTGACACTACAACAAATGATCAATAAAGTAAAGAAGCTGAATTTAGTGCCTCTAGTTCTTCCTTCTCGGCCTTCTACCTCAATGTCAGCGCCAAAAGCAAAGGCAATCCAAATATGTCAAGTTCCTTCTTCCTTTTGGCATTGTCTACATCAACAACATGTTGCCAGTGGGTGTTGAGCCGATTCAACACTTGTTCATTCGAGAGCCTAAGCATGGTATTTTCTATCTCGATGGATAAAATCAGATTTGCTTTCAATGCACTGAAGAACTTTGCGCTGGCCCAACTGAGCATCTGTTCCATCTTCGATTGGATTGCATGGTGCATGACGAAGTGGAACAAGATTATCACTGGTTAATCTCATTGGAACTAAGCAATCACATTAAAGAACTTAAAGGAGATAATTTTCAATTGATGAAGCAAGAAATATTGGATAAAGTTGATAAATGCGATTAGAGTTAGTTTTGACATCATCAGATAAGGGGAATTATAAGACCGAACCTTATAATATGATGAGTCAAATACACGTTGACCATCAGCTCCAACGCCAACGCCAGTACCAGCGCCAATATCAACTTATGAATCTCACCAGGGTCAACGTGTGATCACTAGTTATTTATAAATGTTTTTCAAGTGCTTCATTGATTCATGAGAATGGCAAGGTTCGACTGTACAAACGCATATTCACAACATTTTCCTCTTAAATACAATTATACTATGATGTATTTGAATAAATAAAAATGAAAAAAATGGGTTGAAAATCGGGACGTTACACTAACATTGAAATTCTATTGTTCAAGAACTTCTCTAGTGAAATGACTACCAATCCATCTATAACTAACAATTGAACCCGTTTTAAAATTCTTAGTACAATTATGATCAATAATAAGAGACTTGATTTGGAATGAATGCTCCTCCTTCATCCATGAAGCCTAGAGCCTAAATGTGCATCCACCACCACATCACTTAACCAATAATCTTTTATTGTCATTCTTTTCATAACACAATTTATAGCTATTTGCTACAACATAATTACAAAACATGTATATCAATTGTTTGGGATTAGTAAATCTCATACCTAGAATAGGCAGCTGCTTCTTCCAAGGTACATCTTCATTGAACCTTGTTTTAATATTAACAAATGGGACATTATCATCTTCATCATCTTCTGGGACATCATCATACGTGGAAGCTTCATTATCATTTTCCCGACTTACTCCTTCATGGGTTACTCCTTCCATGTTGTTCTTCAATGGACACATGAAGTCAGTCAGGTCAATATAATCATCCATTTCCATTGACATGTTTGATACACTTTAATAGCTGTCATCCTTATAACTACTAATTTCATTAGACAATACTTGTATATTAGTACCAAAATGGTTCATGTACACCAACAGTTGACATCCACAACGATAAGCAATGTCAAAAAACTCTTGATATTCAATTTCATTAGAAATCAATCTTAAACTTTGTGGGAATTCTATATCTGACATACAATAATAAACCTTCTAACACGTCTCTTGTGTAACTCGTTCAAGAAAAACAACAAATTCTTTTACATTCATACAAGCAAAATCGATATTCTCAAAGACATGATGTATACCATCGGAGTAACAAAATGGTTTGTTGATGAATACACCTTGGAAATGAACATCGATCTTGACGAATGTTGCCATGGAAAGGGTTCTTAAATGGGAACAAGGGTTTTTTGATTTTGGTTCAGTTGAAAGAAAGAAACAAAGGAGTGTGTAATTTAAATCCGTTTGAAAATAATGGAGAGTACACATGACCATTTCATCTAATTACATGACACTGCCATTTGATCACATAACATTCATTTTAGCATATGCCATACATATTAACAGGTTACCCGATCATTTCTTCAATTATGATGTTTTAAACCATTGAAAATCTACTTCATTCCCTTAAAGTATAAAAACTAAAAATAACTGAGTGACCTTTTAAAACAAACGGGAAAACTTCGTTTGATTAAAATGACATTTTCCCTTGGTTTAATTTGAAATTACATTTCATTGTGCATGCAAACTGCATATAGCCGAAACTATCATGAGTCGAGATCATTTATTTACCCACATCTTGCAACAATTATAGTGTTATTACATTTTGCAAAGCAAATCAAACAACCGTTGGTAAAAACATAGTCTGTTAGACATAATTTGAGTTGTCTTGAGGACTCATACGTGTCTCCAACATGAGTTTTAATCTTATTACATTAAGGTATGATTATGAACTATGTACTCAACACCCACATCAAGTTCATTTTGATGATCATTACCCCCTCATAATGCATATTTGCTTCAACTATAACTTCATCATCCATATTACATGTTGATATCATTTAGTGGGTATATGTACATTGTAAATAGACCCTTGTACTTAGCAATGGTTGTTTTGGACCCCACCTTTGGTTCATAATCCCTATACATTCCATGAAGATCTAACTCCATATTGTTTAGTCATCACAAACATCGAACTCATAATAAGATGACTCATCGTGTAATTGTTAAGTAAACTAACACCTATGAAAAAAATATGATTACTACTCTCGCTAATGATTTAGAAAAAAAAACGACATATTAAAGCTCAATTTGCCATATGCTTCAACATCTTCAAACAATTTCTTTGAAACTCATTCAAGTGAAAGCTTAATTGGAAAAGATAAACCTTCTTTTTGGAATGATGATATTTCTTTACCCAAGATCATGTCTAACACATTAGTACAAAAACTTAAAATAAAATCCCAACTTACAATACCTAATTTTTTTTTTCCAAAAAAATGGAATAACTATAAATTAGACATTATTGTATTTTGCATCTAGAACTTGTACTTTTTGTATCTTATACTAGAAACCGGTTTCACACTTTCACTTCATCGTATGCTAAACCAGAAGAAAAACATCAACATACAATAAATTTAAACCCCCAAAAAAACCTTCTTGTGTGCTCTCCAGCTATTCTTTCCAAATCCATCGATCACTTCTGTTCAATGGATCTACCATTCCTGATTCAATCAATTTGAGATCTTGAATCAGGTGGTGGGTTCAATTCAATCAGTCAACTTGAACTGTTGGAGGAGTTGAAAGATTCAAGGGTATGAAGATACCTTGTTGCACGGTTTGTCAGACAAGGTACAACGAAGAGGATAGATGTCCGTTGTTGCTTGAGTGCGGCCATGGATTCTGTAAAGAGTGTTTGTCCCGTATGTTTTCATCAGCACCATCAGACACTACTCTTCCGTGTCCACGATGTCGCCAAGTCTCCGTTGTCGGTAACTCCGTCCACGCGCTACGGAAGAACTACGCTATTTTGGGGTTAATCTCTTCTGCTTCCAATAGCGATTTTACCGACGAGGATGATGACGATGAGGATGATGGGTTGGTGGTGGTGGTGGATAGAGACCGGCGCAGCTGTGGGTCCAACGCTTCCAGTTCTAATGGCTTAATCGAACTTGGTTCGCACCAGGATTTGAGGATGGTGAGGCGGATTGGGGAAGGGCCAGGGCGGAAGGGGAGCGGAGTTGAAATGTGGTCGGCGGTGTTGTCTGGGAAATCAGGGAGGTGTCGTCACCGTGTGGCGGTGAAGAAACTTGTGGTGATTGGGGAAGATACTGATTTAGTTTGGGTACAGAATGAGCTTGATGATTTGAGGCGTAAGTCGATGTGGTGTAGAAATGTGTGCAAGTTTCATGGGGCAACGAAGGTGGATGAGTGTCTTGCTCTGATCATGGATAAATGCAATGGTTCTGTTGAGACAGAGATGCAAAGAAACGAAGGGAGACTCACTCTTGAGCAAATCCTGAGGTTTGTTTCTGTGTAAATTGTATTTAAGCAATTCAAACAGTTTCTCTTTGTAATTTATATTTGTTCTTGTTAGATATGTTTGATTTGATTCACAACATATGGAGTAAGCTCTATGTTAAAAAAATCACCTTTTGCCCATAGAGTTTCAAACCTATAACACCCTAGTATTTGGGGACAATAGACATGACATAAACCATTAGAAGGAAGTTCCCTGTTGCAAAGCATGAATCCTCATTAGGGTTACAACTCCTATAATGTTAAAATTGATGAATGGAATGCAAGGGTAAAGTGATTATTTAGTCTCATTCAGACAGTTTATTCAGTCTAGATAAGACCAGTCCTTATGTATACAACACTTTATCCAGACAAACATTATTACCCATTCAACCACTTTACCCTAACATATCTAAGATTCCATTTCTAGTATATTCCAAATCTAGTAATTATTATTATTATTATCTAATATATCTTCTTTCCTTCCTCTTTTTAATAGATATGGTGCAGATATTGCTCGTGGGGTGGCTGAACTACATGCAGCAGGTGTGGTTTGTATGAACCTTAAACCATCAAATCTTCTTTTAGATGAAGAAGGTCGTGCAGTTGTTTCCGATTATGCCCTTCCTGCCATTTTAAAAAAACCAGCTTGCAGGAAAGCCCGTTTAGAGTGTGATTCCTCAAGAACTCATTCATGCATGGATTGCACAATGTTAAGCCCAAACTACACAGCTCCAGAAGCATGGGAGCCTGTTAAAAAATCTTTAAATATTTTTTGGGATGATGCCCTTGGTATATCACCTGAGTCAGATGCATGGAGTTTTGGGTGTACATTAGTAGAAATGTGCACTGGTTCTGTTCCGTATGTATAAATTTTAATATGTATTTTTTATATTTCTTGACTTATACATGTTGTATTGTTACTTAAAATGTAAAAAAATTGGTATTTCTTTTGTAGGTGGGCTGGATTAAATGCTGAGGAAATATATCGTGCAGTTGTTAAGGCGAAAAGACAACCTCCACAATATGCAAGTGTAGTAGGTGTTGGAATACCAAGGGATCTGTGGAAAATGATTGGTGATTGTTTACAGTTTAAGGCACCTAAAAGACCGACTTTTAGTGCTATGCTTGCAATATTTCTTAGGCATTTACAAGAAATACCTCGTGGGCCTCCTGCAAGCCCAGATAGGTAAGGGGCTGTTTCTTTTTTACTTAATCTGGACATAATGAGTTAATGGGCTGTTTGATATGCCTCTTATTGGGTCTGACTTGGTCAAATTCAGACTGTTTGATACCACAATTGCTTCTGATTAATAAGAGGTTGGGTCTGACTCAATCAGACCTTGAATTACTCAGACTCAATTAACAGCTATCAAACAAGACAATAAACCTGGCTTAATGTATTAAGACACCAACCCTTTATTACCTATTTGTCCTTTTTTTTTCCACCCAACTTCCTTCATGTTAGAATTGATGTATATTGTGAAAATTGTGTGTTGGAATGTGAGGGTATAATGGTCATTGAGTCTCATTCAGACGGTTTATTCATTCTAGAAAAGAAACGAGCTTTATGTAGTATACAATGTTTTATCCATGCATACATCATTACGTATTCAGTCACTTTACCCATACATGACTCATTTGGGAAAAAAAACAAAAACAACCCCCAAGTCTTGTAAAGTTTTCAAAAAGAAACAACACATCATATTTACAACATTTTCTCAAACTGCAGCGATGTAATTGTATACCCGAAAGCAAATGGGACGATGCCACCTGTCCCTCCAACCAACTTAGAAGTTGTCCATGATTATCGGACTCTTTTACATACAATGGTTTGTGAAGGGAATGTTTCTGGTGTGAGGTCAGCATCACTTTTCAATTATACCTATATCACATTCTTTCTTTCATTTTGTCATCTATGGATTCCTTATGTTTTTGGAATACAGTGAGTTGCTAGCAAAGGCTTCATCAAAAAACGATGTCAACATGTTTCGTTCTCTTCTAGAAGCTCAAAATGCAGAGGGCCAAACTGCCCTCCACCTGGCATGCAGACGTGGCAGTTCTGAACTTGTTGAGTCTATTTTAAGTTATCGAGAGGCCAATGTGGATGTACTTGATAAAGATGGGGACCCACCACTTGTGTTTGCTCTTGCAGCAGGGTCCCCAGAATGTGTGCGTGTTCTTCTTGGTAGATATGCTAATGTGAGGTCTAGATTGAGGGATGGATTTGGTCCTTCAATTGCTCATGTTTGTGCATATCATGGTCAACCAGATTGCATGCGTGTAAGTTTTTTGTAATTCTATGCAATAAACAGCAATGTGCTTTCATTGATTTGTTTATTATAGCATCCTACTTTCATTTCTTTCTTTAAAATTAGGTAGATTTCTCCAAATGTTTAAGGTTCTTATACTTTATAAAAAAAAAAAACTACAGGAATTGCTAGTGGCTGGTGCTGATCCAAATGCAGTTGATGATGAAGGTGAATCTGTATTGCATAGAGCAGTGACAAAAAAGTACACAGAGTGTGCTCTTGTTATATTGGAAAATGGGGGATGTAAATCCATGGGCATCTCAAACTCAAAGAATCTCACGTAAGTACAAATTTTATCTTTCCTTATGTTTCTAGAAGCTAATTTCAATCAATTTTGAGGTATACCAACATTCATATGTCCCTAATTGATTAATTGTATGATTCAATAGGCCTCTGCATTTATGTGTGACAACATGGAATGTAGCTGTTGTTAAAAGATGGATTGAAGTTGCATCTTCTGAAGAAATTGCAGAAGCCATAGATGTACCTAGTCCTGTGGGGACCGCATTGAGTATGGCAGCCGCTTTAAAGAAAGATCATGAAGCTAGTAAGTTTTAAAATCTCATATTCATGATTCATCTTAATCACTTTTTTATTGCTAATTAGTACCCTAAATATATATTAATTTAATTTTGTTGCAGATGGTAGAGAACTTGTACAGATTCTTCTTGCTGCTGGAGCTGATGCTACTGCTCAAGACACTCAACATGGACGCACAGCTCTGCATACTGCTGCTATGACTAATGATGTGGAGTTAGTTAAAGTAAGTTTATTTATTTATTCTTCCATCAGTTTGCTCAAGTGTGGTGACATTTTCACTACAGAAAGACATGATTGAGTTGAATTGGGTCATTAACTGCTGTTTTGTCTGAACAGATTATTCTTGATGCTGGAGTTGATGTGAACATAAGGAATGTGCAAAACACCATTCCTTTACATGTGGCATTGGCAAGAGGATCAAAATCATGTGTTGGAATGCTTCTTTCTGCAGGAGCAAATTGTAATTTGCAGGTTTCTATTCCTTTCCCTCTATCAATTCTAAATTAGATATTAGTTTGTTATGAATTATTTTTTATGGCTCTAACATGGGTGCTGCTTGATTTCAACTTTTTTTTTTTTTTTTTTTTCTTTTCAGGATGATGAAGGAAACAATGCTTTTCATATAGCTGCTGATACAGCAAAGATGATACGTGAAAATCTGGAGTGGATCATTGTTATGCTTAAATATCCAGGGGCTGCTGTAGAAGTCAGGAATCACAGGTACTTCCATTGATTTGTTTATTATATCATCCTACTTTCATTTCTTCCTATGACTCCATTGTACTTTCAAAAATCTACCCACTTATAGCAAAATATCATCCAAATATATAACAATTTTCATTTAGCACTTATATCTATCTATGTATTTGTGATGGATGTCAGTGGTATGACACTACGTGACTTCTTGGAGGCCCTTCCTCGGGAATGGATTTCAGAGGATTTGATGGAGGCACTTGCAAACAAAGGAGTTCATTTATTTCCAACAATGTCAGTATCTATCTTTCATTTCTTTCACTTTCTAATATACATCTTTTCTATCTACATTTCAAAAAAAGACTTGATTTTTTTTCTTTCAAATAGATACCAAGTAGGCGACTGGGTGAAATTCAAAAGTACAGTTGCAACACCAACATACGGGTGGCAAGGTGCAACACACAAAAGTGTTGGTTTTGTTCAAAGTGTCCCAGATAAAGACAATCTTTTTGTCTCATTTTGTTCTGGTGAAGCACGTGTACTTGCCAATGAAGTTATGAAAGTCATCCCATTGGACAGAGGCCAACATGTCCAACTCAAACCAGATGTCAGAGAACCAAGGTACGATTACATAGGACAAGTTGTACTGTGTTTGGCATGCATTAGACTTTGATGCCAATAGGACAAAAGTTGGAATCTTTTGTCCTACCGAGAAAGTAATTCTTATAGTTAATACATAATTTACAAAAATAAAAAAAAATGATAATCTTGACAGATTTGGTTGGCGTGGGCAATCGAGAGAGAGTATTGGAACTGTTCTTTGTGTTGATGATGATGGGATTTTGCGGGTCGGGTTTCCTGGAGCATCCAGAGGATGGAAGGCCGACCCGGCAGAAATGGAGCGGGTTGAGGAATTTAAAGTTGGAGATTGGGTTCGGGTCCGACCCGCTCTTACAACTGCTAAGCATGGGTTAGGGTCGGTTACACCAGGAAGCATTGGTATTGTGTATTGTATTAGACCCGATAATAGTTTGTTGTTGGAACTCAGTTATCTTCCAAATCCATGGCATTGTGAACCCGAAGAAGTTGAACCTGTTGACCCATTCAGGGTATATAATAAAGATACATTTTTTTATTGTTGCTATTTCTTGATATACTAAATAGAATATTTCAACTTATGTTATTATCAATGTCTACAGATTGGTGATCGTGTATGTGTGAAGAGGTCAGTTGCAGAACCTAGGTATGCTTGGGGTGGTGAAACACATCACAGTGTTGGAAGGATTATTGAGATAGAAAGCGATGGTCTCCTGATAATTGAAATTCCAAATAGGCCCATACCATGGCAAGCTGATCCTTCTGACATGGAAAAAGTCGAGGACTTTAAGGTAAATTAACAAACATCTTTGGGTATTTTATTTTCTTTAACAATTATGACTTATGAACGAATTATGTGACATGGCAGGTTGGAGATTGGGTGAGAGTTAAGGCTTCAGTGTCCTCACCTAAATACGGGTGGGAGGACATAACCAGGAACAGTATCGGGTTAATCCACAGTTTAGAAGAAGATGGTGACATGGGAATCGCCTTTTGCTTCAGAAGCAAACCCTTTTCATGTTCAGTGACAGATGTCGAAAAAGTAGCACCTTTCGAATTAGGTCAAGAAATTCATATAATTTCTTCGGTCAACCAACCACGCCTTGGATGGTCCAACGAAAGCCCCGCCACCGTGGGTAAAATCGTCCGAATCGACATGGATGGAGCTTTAAACGTATGTTAACTTAAACTCCTTTTTTCTCCATTAACTCATCCAATAACCATTTCTAAATCTTTTTCCTTTTTCTCAGGCTAAAGTGGCGGGAAGACACGGGTTATGGAAAGTATCTCCCGGAGATGCGGAAGTCCTTTCGGGATTTGAAGTAGGCGATTGGGTTCGATCAAAACCGAGTGTAGGAACTCGACCTAGTTACGATTGGTATAGTATTGGAAAAGAAAGTTTAGCAGTTGTTCATAGTGTACAAGACACTGGTTATCTAGAATTAGCTTGTTGTTTCCGTAAAGGTAAATGGATGACTCACCACACCGACATCGAAAAAGTCCTCGGGTTCAAAATCGGGCAGCACGTGAGATTCCGGGCAGGGCTAGAAGAACCGCGATGGGGTTGGCGAGGCGCGCAGCCCAACTCCCGCGGCGTTATCATCAACGTGAACGCGGACGGCGAAGTACGCGTTGCGTTTTTCGGGCTGCCGGGATTATGGAGAGGCGACCCGGCGGATTTGGAAATAGAAAAAACTTTTGAAGTTGGAGAGTGGGCTCAAATGAGTGAAACCGCAAGTGTTTGGAAATCAATCGGGCCGGGTAGTATCGGGATTGTACAAGGGATCGTATATGAATCGGATGAATGGGCCGGGAATATTTCAGTTGGGTTTTGCGGGGAGCAAGACCAATGGGTCGGCCCATGTACGGATCTCGAACGGGTCGAGAAGCTCACAAACGGGCAACGGGTTCGGGTGAAACCGTCGGTGAAACAACCGCGGTTCGGGTGGTCGGGCCATACACATTCCAGCATCGGGGTGATTTCGGGTATTGATTCGGATGGGAAGCTAAGGATGTATACCCCCGCGGGTTCAAAGTCATGGATGCTTGACCCGTTTGAAGTGGAAGTGGTTGAAGAAGAGGAGCTCCATATCGGGGACTGGGTCCGGGTCAAACCGTCTGTGACCTCCCCGGTTCACCATTGGGGGGAGGTGACTCATTCGAGCATCGGGGTGGTGCACCGGATGGAGGAGGGTGATGTTTGGGTGGCGTTTTGTTTCTTGGAGCGGTTGTGGCTGTGTAAGGCGGGGGAAGTGGAGAGGATCCGGCGGTTCGTGGTGGGGGACAGGGTGCGGATCAAGAAGGGTTTGGTTAGCCCGCGGTGGGGGTGGGGGATGGAGACGCATGCGAGTAGAGGTCAGGTGGTGGGGGTGGATGCCAATGGGAAGTTAAGGATTAAGTTTCAATGGCGGGAAGGGAAGCCATGGATTGGTGATCCGGCTGATATCGAACTTGATGATAGTGAAAATGGGTTGCCAGCTGGCCGGATTTTGTAGGTGTCAGGTGGTGGTTAATATATATATATATATATATATATATATATATATATATATATATATATATATATGAGATCGATTTAGAAAATGGGAGGTGATATGGAAGAGGTAAGGGTATTTAGGTAAATAGTCTCTATATATATTACTATATGATGATTGCTGTTTATTTAATTCTACTATACAGAGAGAGGCGTAAGTAACATAACTGATAAACACCATTTGATATTTGTTTTTCTTGTTTGTAGACGTTAGACATGGTGTGGGTTTTTGTTTCATGTATCTATCTTTAACTCATATTATGCCTTCCTTGTTCATATTATTATTCTTATACACTGGCCTTCTTGTTTCTTCTTTTTTAATTAAATCGCTGCTTTGTTCTAAATTTTAACGACAGTGGTCTGATAGAGGTCTAAAAAACATCATAAAAACTAGAAATCATCTTTTATCTTTCTTCTTCTTCAAGGAAACACAACCTATCCATGGCCATGAGAATAAGGGTGTAACTAACTCGAACCAGGTGAGTATAGGTGAGATACTTGAAACCAATTCAGAAAATACTCAAAATAGATTTTGTTCAAGTCGAGCTCGAGCTACTAAAATATATTATTTAGTCAAGCTCGAGTATTGAAATACTAAGCTTGTGAAGCTCTTTACAAGCGTAATTGAGTTGCAATCTTAGTCGTATTTCTATTTCAGATTAACATAAACTTATATTTTTAATAATTAGTCGAGTGGAGTTGAACGAAAGTGTCGATTACTTTATTGAGCTCGAGCCCAAGTTTGAAATTGAGGCTTGAGTCGAGTTTTTTAGTCAAGTCGAGTTTCGAACTTTATAGTACTCAACTCGGCTTGATTACACCGTACATGGGAAGGGAATGGGATGATGCATGTTGTAAAAAGAACGAAACTTTGCTAGTCTTTTATCTTTATTCTTCAAGAAACAAGCCCAAACCCTACCCCTACCCATGGGATAATGTTGTATGGATATATATATGATAACAAAAATATTGAGATTCTTATTTCGCCTATAACCAAGATTTATATTACAACATTTTCCATCATCTTTAGAAATCATGACAATATTTTAATGACATGGGTTTGTCAAATCAATAAATTGTCAAAGAAATGATTTTTGTGTTAGGCATGATGTTGTATGTAGGGATGAGCTATAGCAAAAATAGGCCGAACTCGCTCAAAGATTTCATCTTCTGTTCCTATGGCATTAATCTGCATGATTTGGCACAACATCCATTAGTATTATACCATGGATAAAATATGATATTTAAAATGCTTATTTTGCTTATATAGCTTTTTTAAAGATGTTGCTTAAAAAGTGAGTGAGAACCTTGTAAAGCTTCCCTTTGCGAGTGTAGTATTTAATAACGGGTAGAGTATAAGACAGACGGGTGTGGGCAACGCGGACATCATGTTATCTGACGTGGCACGCGCCTTTAACGGCGCCATAACGCAGAACACCGCCCTAGGTAGCCGTTATGGGGCGTTACGTCATTACCCGTTACCATGGTAACGAATGGTAACGCCATTTTTTTGACCGTTGCAAATTTTGTTCCGTTGAAAAACGGTAATATTACCGTTTAATACGGTGAATTCTAAAAAAAAAAATTACTACTTAAAAAATTAAACTATATCAATACATATACCTCATTTTATTACACTTCTATTTCTCTATATCTATCTCTATTTCATTCAAAACAAAAAAATCACTATGGATCAAAACCTGAATACCCCTCCTCCGAACACAAACACATCCACTCCATTAGGTTTTGCGGGATATGAGGGATACATAAACCTTCTAAACTCCCAAAACTCACCACAAATTCCATATTCCGACAATTTTTTCAATCCCGTTTCACCCCACTACAATTCCCTACCTCGCCATTTATGCAACAAAATGCAAACATTCAACAAAACCTTTTTAAACACATTCGGTCCCATACGCCAAACAGTCACACAACCCCCACCCACGCAAGAAACTGTTGTCGAGACGCAAGTCGGGGGTAGTCAGAAAGCATCGGGAAAAAAGGGAGACCAAAAAAGAAAGGGAAAGAGATCGTGGTCGGGGCGGAAGAAACAAAAGCACCTCCAACATGGTGGACACCGGAGAAGAGCATGTTTTGGCGGTGGCTTGGTGCGGTACTTCAAAACAACCAACTATGTGGAACGATATGAAGAGAGTTGCTTTTTGGGATGCCGTAATTGTCAAATTCCGCACAATTTTGAACAAGGGTGACACATATCGCAATAATGATATGCTTAGTGGTAAGTGGACTCAAATTAGCCGGAAGTGCACCAAATTCAATTCCATATACAACAAACTTTCTTCACAACGTCAAAGTGGTGCCAATGATTTCGATGTGTTTAGAGCCGCGAGGGAGGAATATCACGTGCAAATGAGGCACGTATTTGAGTATGAAAAAGTATGGGACATAGTGAGGAAAGATCCAAAATGGATGAAAACGCCAACATCATCGGAACAACAATCAAAGAGGTCTCGTGGTTCGGGTTTGGTTGACGTTTCCGACGGACACGCGAACATCGACCTCAACGCGGACATCGATGAGATCCCGGACGAGTTTGATGACATCGAGGAAATCTCTCCGCCACGACGACCGATGGGGCGCGACAAAGCCAAGCGCGCGCAACGACATGCGCAGGAGAATGAAAGTCGGCTTCGAGAGCACGACGAAATGAAAAAAAATCTGACGCCCACACGGAAATCGCAAATAAAAGATATGAATTGCAACGGGTGCATTTGGATTTCCTTTGTCAAGAAGCCGAAAAAGATCGCATATCGAAGGATTTGGCAATTCTTACGACAAACGAAGCAAATTTACCACCGAGACGAGCTGAAGTGATACGGAGGATGAAGGCAAAGATCGAGAGCAAATACTTGGGCGAAGAATAGTTTGTCAGTGTTTTTTTTTTAAATTATTAGGACTATCGTGTGTTTTTTTTTCAATGTTTTTTTTGTTTGTATGGTATTTTTAATTTACTATTTAATGAAATTATGTTTTATTAATTTTTATGTTTTTTATAGATATATGACATAAAAAAAACAAAACGAATTAGAAATATATGAAGTAAATAAAAAAAATAAAAAAAATTAGAATAATGGACATTAAAAACATTACAAAAAATAAAAAAAGAAATAGAAAATAGAATGTGTTATCCCATGTTATTTGGTGTTGCCCATTTCCACCTTTGGTGTTATAACACCAAATTGTGACTAGGATGATGAGGTGGACAATTTGAGTGTGATAACATGTAATAACATGTTGCCCACACCTAGTAGTCGAAGCTTCAAAAACTTTAAATCGTTCATTTGTGGTATCGATATTATCATCAATTCTCCCTGTCACAATCACAATAAAAAAATATTAGTATTTAGTTGAGGGATTTGGGTATAAATAATTGTACAAAGAAAGGAATAAAGAAAACACACACACCTGATTACGATGTAGTAGGGATGAAAGTGGGTCCAAACCCGGACCGGATGGACCCGGACCCGGAAAACCCCGAACCGGTTAACGGGATTTTGTAGAACCGAAAACCGGACCGGTATATAGGACCCGATTCCGGGTAAAGTGGGTCTAGAACCGAAAAACCCGGAAACATCAAAGTGGGTAGGTTGGAACCGGATAAAGTGGGTTTAGAACCGAAAAACCCGGAAAAACCGGAATTTTTTGGTAATTACTTAATACTTAGTGGGTTGAACTTTGAAAATTTTCATATTGATATCCCGACTTTGGGGGACTATAACTCATTGAATATGAAACCAAAATAAACAAAATTATAGTCTAAAATCATGTACAAACTCTAAAATACACTCTGGAAAAAACTGCATGTCAATTCGACTTTAAACGAATGATATATGCATGTGTTAACATTTTCACATAATATACAGTACAAAAACAAATAGCTGAAAAGTTGAAAATTTTCAGTTTTGATATCCCGACTTCGCATGACTGTAAATCATTGAATGTTAAACCAAAAATGACAAAATTATAGTCTAAACTCATGTACAAACTGTAAACTACAAGTTGGAAAAAACCACATGTCAATCCGACTTCAAACGAATTAGATATGCATGTTTTAAAACTTTCACCGAATACAAAAAAACTGAAAAACTAAAAATTTCCAGCTTTGATATCTCGACTTTAGGGGACTGTAAGTCAATGAATATAAAACTAAAAATATCAAATTTATAGTCTAAAATCATGTACAAACTCAAAACTACATGTTGGAAAAAAACCCCATGTCAATCGGAGTTGAAACGAATGAGATACACATCTTTTAAATGTTTCACAAAAACCGGTTCCGATCCTAAAAGTGGTTCTGGTTCCAAACATCGGTTCCGGTTTTTAGACCCGGTTTACCCGGACCCGATGGACCCAAACCTGGATTAGCCGGAACCCGGATAAAGCCATTTTTTAAACCCGGAACCGGTTCTATATATTCCGGTTCTAACGGTTTCGGTTCCGGTCCGGTTTTCCAGTTCTAAATCTAATCCTTACGATGCAGTACTCGTATTTGTAACAACACAACATGATAAGATTTTGGGGATTTGCCACTAATAGACATTTTTTTGGAGGGAATTCCAAAATATAGACACAAAAAATCAAATTTTCGGGTACAGACATGGATTCCGCGGAGGTGAGCTCCGAGGGCTCCGCGGAATCAACTTAATCTCTGAGTAATCGATGTGCCAAAAAAAATCTCAAGATCCATTCCGCGAAGGTACCTCCGAGGAATGAAGTCATTCTGCAGAGGTACCTCCGAGGAATGGATCTTCAGATTTTTTTTTCTTCACATTGATTTTTCGGGGCTTATATTCATTTCCCAACTAATTATTTTCAAGAAAATAGTATGATGGTATGAAATTTTCTTGACAATGTTTGGAATGAATGTGAGGTGGAAAAAATTGTCTTTTAATCGGAGTATAAGCCCCAAAGAATCAATGTGGTAAAACAAAAGTTCTCAAGATCCATT